GCTGCTATGACAGTGGCCCACCTGGGGAGTGCACTGAAGCTCTCCACCCCCCTCCCCATATTTTGATGTATGTACTTCTTCCATTTGGCTGATCCTGAGTTGTACGCTAATAATCTTGTGTTATTATGTAAAGCATTCTACCAAATCCTGAGAGATGTTCTACTGAATTATTCAACAATGAGAGGCATTGTGGAAACCTGCAATGTGTAGTTGGCCATACAGAAGTGTGGGTAACCTTGGCACCCCATATTGTGGCTGGCATTTGACATGGGGGTAGTCTTCTTGGACTGAGCCTTTAACCTGTAGAGTCTGACTAATTTCAGGTACTTATTTAATTGAATTAAATTTGGGGACAACTAGTTGGTGTCAAGTGAGTTGGAGACGTGGTGTTAGAAAAGACACAGTGTATTTCGTGTTAGGAAGACAAAAAACTGTTAACCTTCACACATGCTTCTCAGTCTCTCCCCTTAGGTCACTTGGGCTTTGGCAAATAGATTTAGGTTAGGCTTTGTTGAAATAGATTAAGGACAGGCCGTGTTAAGAAGAACGTAATATTCTGGGAATATTACAAAATGGCTACTTTTCCTGTCTGTCTCTCCAATTTTGGAGACAAAATATTGCCCTCAATTCTTTAATGGTTCCAAGAAGAGTAATTGATATGATGTCTGTTCATTTTTTACTTGAATGGATGGAATTGACAGCTTCTATGTTCCTTACTTGTCAGACTAGAGATTGGAAGTCTCTGATTTCATTTTATTAATGTTTGATGACTGCTTTAAAACCTCATTCCTCCTTTTCCACCTTGTACTTCACATCTGAATGTGGTAGGAAGAAAGCCTGGGTCACCCTCACTTGGTGCTGGTAAGACATCCAATTCACATAAGGCCCCTGCCTGGGTGCTTGAATTTTCATGCTAGCCCACTCTCTAACCTCAATAAAAAAAATCCCTAGCCAGGTTCCTTTTCTTGTTCTCTGAAGCCATTTCGCAACTGCTTGAAAGCCTACCCTGTTCTTCCTGATATCTCATGTATGTGTGTAATAAACCCTTTCTTGAGTATAAGGATTTTGTAGAGGTCTAAGATGCCATCCTTTCTTCCTCATGCCTGAGCTCTAAATTCCCACTAACTTCCTAGACCTATGAAATGGAACAGAGAGTAAAAGGAAAAATGCAAGCAAGTTGAAACTAATACTTCTACAAAGGAATATTTTCATTCAACTACCTGGATTTAAGTACTTGTAATAGCCTGGAGGTCCTTCAAGACAACATAGCCAGTGGCTTCTTTTTACCATTTCGCTACCATTTGCCTCCTGGCTTCTCATATTTGTTGATGAAAACAGAAGAAAAACCTTCTGAGGGTGTCTTTATTTATTAAAATCTCATCCAGATTTGACCCTGTGTTTCATGAAATGGTAGTGATATTTTATGTAATAAGGCAGGAAATCAGTTTTTCTCACAAGAAATTGATGGTGTTAAAATTTGTTTCATTTCTATGGCATCTCTCTCATTTCTCTAAGATGGTCTTGATTCTGCCTTTAGAGAACAATAAGGCTTCAAGTGATCACAGAAAAAATACAGAAATAATTTCTATGTGTTTATGATAGTGTGAAATTTATGAGGGAGGGAGGGAGGGAGGATAGAATCTGAGTTCTGACAGCCAAGTCATACACTAAATATTTGGAGACCACAGAATTGTACATGAACTTCTTACAAATTGAGTATAGGTCCTTCATTACTGCCAGTCTCACCCAACCTCCTGTACACATATGTTGGATGTTTTAGGACCCAGTCTTCTTTGAGGATGTGGCTGTGAACTTCACCCTGGAAGAGTGGGCTTTGCTGGATTCTTCAGAGAAAAAACTTTACAGAGATGTGATGCAGGAAACCTTCAAGAACCTGGCCTGTATTGGTAAGGATAACAACATTTCTCTACTTAGTTAAATAGAAAACAAACATTTCTTGTCCAACAACTGTGTTCCAAGATTTCAAATGTGGTAAGGGAATCCTTTGATTAAACACAGGGCCACAGCTAATCATGAACCTAGAATATTACAATCTTCTATAATTTCTAATGTTCCTGGGTCTGCATTTTAGGGAAAAAGTGGAAAGACCAGGATACTGGAGATGACCATAAAAACCAGAGGAGAAATCTAAGGTGAGTTGCATTCACCAGAGTAATTAGTTGCCCATGAGAGAATTTCAAAAATAAGCAAGCAAAACAATAAAACAGGTTCAAATTTAATGATTCTTAGAACATTTTTGCCAAAAATGTATACTTAAAAATATCATAGATGTTTGGGGTATGAAAAATAAATCACTTTGAAACAGGATTTAGAAACTGCTGTAAATATGACTGTGTTGATAAGATACATGGTCAAGTCCTGTTCCAGAGGATTGAATATTAACTTTCAAATAATTCAGCCAGCATAGATAACCTACACTTTGTCTGAAAATGTTTAAACTGTAATTCTAATACCTAATAATAAAGTCATTAATAAAAGGGCCATTAATAACATCCTACTTATTTTTTACAGAGTTATGGTTGAGAGACGCTGTGAAAGGGAAAAAAGTAGTCAATATGGAAAAAACACTAGCCAGATGCCAAATCTTAATATGAACAAAGAAACTTCTACTGGAGCAAAACCATGTGAATACAGTGTGTGTGGGAAAGTCTTCATGCATCATTCATCTCTTAATAGGCACATGATATCTCACACTGCACAGAAACCAAGTGAGTATCAGGAATATGAAGAAAAACCATATAAATGTAAAGAATGTGGGAAAACCTTCAGTTATCACCACTGCTTTCGAAAACATGAAAGAACTCACACTGGAAAGAAACCCTATGAATGTAAACAGTGTGCAAAAGCCTTTATATATTACCAACCTTTTAAGAGACATGAAAGGAATCATATTGGAGAGAAAACCTATGAATGTAAACAGTGTAGAAAAACTTTTATATATTACCAATCTTTTCAAAGACATGAAAGGACTCATACTGGAGAGAAACCCTATGAATGTAAGCTATGTGGTAAGGCCTTCAGTTGTCCTATATACATTCGAAGTCATGAAAGAACTCACACTGGAGAAAAGCCCTATAAATGTAAAGAATGTGGTAAGGCCTTCAGTTTTCTCAGTTCTTTTCGAAGGCATGAAAAAACTCACACTGGAGAGAAACCTTATGAATGTGAGGAATGTGGAAAATCCTTCCTTTATGCTGGAAGCTTTCAAGGACACATAATAACCCACACTGGAATTCAACCTTATAAATGCAAAGAATGTGGGAAAGCCTTCAACTCTTCTACTTCCTGTCGAATACATGAAAGAACTCATATCGGAGAAAAACCCTATGTATGTAAGCAATGTGGCAAATCCTTCAGTTGGTCCATTTCCTTTCGAGTGCATGAAAGAACTCACACTGGAGAGAAACCTTACGAATGTAAACTATGTGGTAAAGCCTTCAGTTTTTCAAGTTCCCTTCAAGAACATGAAAGAACCCACACTGGAGAGAAACCCTATAAATGTGAACAATGTGGTAAAGCCTTCAGCTTTTTAAGTTCCATTCGAAAACATGAAAGGACTCACAGTGGAGTGAAACCCTATGAATGTAAACATTGTGGTAAAGCCTTCAGTTGCTCAAGTTATTTTCGGAAACATGAAAGAACTCATGCTGGAGAGAAACCCTACGAATGTGGACATTGTGGTAAAGTTTTCATTCGTTCTAGTTCCTTCCGACTACATGAAAGAACTCATACTGGAGAGAAACCTTATAAATGTAAAGTATGTGATAAAGCCTTCAGTTTTTCAAGTTCCTTTCGAGAACATGAAAAAACTCATAGTGGAGAGAAACCTTATGAATGTAAACAATGTCATAAAGCCTTCATTTCTTCTGGTCAACTTCGATTGCATGAAAGAACACATACTGGAGAAAAGCCCTATCAATGTAAACAATGTGGTAAAGCCTTCATTTCTTCCAGTAAATTTCGATTGCATGAAAGAACTCATACTGGAGAGAAACCCTATCAATGTAAACAATGTGGTAAAGCATTCAGTTATTCAAGTTCTTTCCGAATTCATGAAAGAACTCACACTGGAGAGAAACCCTATGAATGTAAACAATGTGGAAAAGCCTTCATTTCCTCCAGTCACTTTCGATTACATGAAAGGACTCATTCTGGAGATAAACCCTATCGATGTAAACAATGTGGTAAAGCCTTTGCTTATTCAAATTCTTTCCAAGTTCATAAAAGATCTCACACTGCAGGGAAACCTTAGGAATGTAAACAATGTGGAAAAGCTTTCATGTCTTCCAGTCACTTTGGATTGCATGAAACAACTTATAATGGAGAGAAAGGCTAAGAATGTAAACAGTGTTCTAAAGCCTTCAGTTCCAGTTTCTTCTGAATTGATGAAATAACACATACTGGAGAGACACTGTTCGAATATAAACATTTTTTAAGCCCCAGTTTCAGTTTCTTTAAAACACATGAACTCACACTGGTGAGCAAACGTGAATGTAAACATTGTGGTTAAGCCTTCCGTTAACCTAATTCATATCAAAGACAAGACTCCTGCTGCAGTGAAATCTGTAAAAAATGTGGGCAAACCTCAGTTCTCCTCTAGGATGTGAATATAATGGAAGGACTTGCAGTGCAGAGAAACCCTGTGAATGTCAGAAATGTGGGAAAGCCTTCACACAACCTTTTGAAACACAGAATGTATACTGGAGAGAAACCGAAGTGTAAAGAATGTGGGAAATTATTCATCCCAGTTCGTTCTGAAACCATGAAACCCACTCACACTGGAGAGTAACTTCTTCAATGTGAGCGATATAGGAACATCTTCAGTTACATGCGCAACTGTTCTTTCCACCACTTTGGGATCCTTCTTAGGAAGAATTGAAGGACTAGGGGAAAAAGACTTCAGCCCCCACAGGCCTTTCTTGCAACCCAGTCTGAAGATAGGAAACAACTTTTAGTGCAACTTGTAACTTATCCAGCTTCATTCACTTGTGTTTGGAAAAGATTGGTGTATGATTTCCATCTTTTTAAATTTATTGATACTTGTTTTTTGGCATAATATATGGTCTATTCTGGGAAATATTCCATGTTTACCCAAGAAAACGTACTCTGTAACTTGGTAGATTGTTCTGTAAATGTATGTTAGGTAGTTTATAGTGTTGCTCATGTCCTCCGTTTCTTGATCTTTAGACACGTTGTGTTCATTATAGAAAGTAGGGTATTGAATTCTTCAAGTATATCCTAGAACTCTGTTTCTCTCATCTATTCAGTCACTGTTTTATATTGTGGGGGTCTCTTGTTTGGTGTGTATATATTTTCAAATATTTAATCTTGATAAATGTCTCCATTTATCAGTACATAATGCCTTTCTTTGTCTCTTGTTGCTTTTTTTAAATTAAAGTCTATTTTGTTTGATATTGCTGAAGCCACCACATCTGTTTTTGTTACTATTTATGTGGAATATCTTTTTCCTTTCACTTTCAACATTTCTGCCTCCTTGGATGTATAGTGAATCCCTTCTAAACAGCATATAGTCAGATCCTGCTGTGTTTTTTAAATCTGTTTTGCCAACGTCTGCATGTTGATTGGAGTGTTTAGTCCATTATATTTAACATAATAGTTTATGAGGCAAGACTTATTTTTGCTATTTTGCTCTTTGTTTTCTGTGTCTTACATTTTTTTGCCATTTCATTACTGTCTTTGAGTTTCATTGATTTTTGTTGTAAAACATTTTTATTCCCTTCTCATTTCATTCTGTGTATATCTTGAGATCTTTAGGTATTCCTTAATGATTACCATGAGTATTAAAATTACTATCATAAATTTAAAATAGTCTAATTTTAATTGATACCAACATAGCTTCAGTAGCACACAAAAATACTGATCGCATCCACCTCCGCTCCTTTTATATCATTATTGTTACAAATTACATTTTTATATGTTTTGCTGTAATTAACATAGACTTATAATTATTGTTTTATGCATTTGTGCTTTAAATCATATAGGAAACAAAAAGTGGTGTTACGTAACAAAAGTACAAGAATACTGGCTTTTATATTGACCTATGTAGTTCCGCTTTCTGGAGTTTTTTGTTTTCTTATATGACTTTGAGTCTTTGTCTAACATCCCAACATTTTAGCCTGAAGAGTTCTCTAAATTTAGCATTTTTTGTAGAGCAGGTGTACTACTGATGAACTCGGTCAACTTTTGTTTACCTGGGAATGTTTTAATTTCTTATTCATGTTTGAAGAATCATTTTTACACATCACGTATTATTGGTTTAGGGCCAGGCATGCAGGGTCACCCCTGTAATTCCAGCACTTTGGGAGGCCTAGGCAAGAGGATTGCTTGAGGCCAGCAGTTTGAGACCAATGTGGGCAACATAGTGAGACCCCCCCCTTCGCAAAAAAATTTAAAAATCAGCTGGCCATGGTGACATGCACCTGTAGTCCCAGCTACTCAGTAGGCTGAGGCAGGAGAATGACTTGAGGCTAGGTGTTTGAGAGTGCAGTTAGCAGTGATTGTGCAGTTGTACTCCTGCTTGGGCAACAGAGTGAGACCCTATCTCTAATAAAAATATGCAAATAAATAAATGTGATACTTCACATCAATAGAATGAAAAAACATTTGATCATCTCATTAGATACAGAGAAAGCATTTGACAAAATTCAACATCCTTTCATAATAAAAATTCAACAAATTAGGTTCAGAAAGAATGGACCTCAGCACAATAAAGGCCATATGGGATAAGGTTACAGCTGTCCTTTTAGTCACCAGTGAAAACCTGAAAGCTTTCCCTCTAGGATCAGAAATACAGCAGGTTTCCCACTCTCCCCACTTAACTATTCAACATAGTATTGGAAGCCCTAGCCAGAGCAGTTAGGCAAAAAAAGAAAGAAAAATCCAAATCAAAAAGGAAGAATCTAAACTGTCTCTCTTTGCAGATGGCATGACAATATATATAACAAATTTTAAGGACACACACAAAAAAACCTGTTAGAACTTATTAACAGATTCAATAAAATTGCAGAATACAAAATAAACCTATAAGAATTAGTACATTTCTATACACTAATAACCAGCTATCTAAAAAGAAATCAAGAAAACAATCCCATTTGCAATAACATTAAAATTTTTTTTAAGTGCTTAGGGATAAATTCAACCCAGGAGGAAAAAAACTGTACACTGGAAACTCTAAAACATTGATGAAATTAAAGAAGATGCAAATCAGTGGATATACCATGCTCATAAATTTGAATACTTAATATTGTGAAAATGTACATACTACCCTAGGAAAACTACAGATTCAATGTAATCACTGTAAAAATTCCAGTTATATTTTTCACAGAATTTTTTTTAAATCCTAACACTTATATGGAACCATGAAAAAAAAAAAAAAAAAACACCTGAATAGCCAAGGCAATCTTAAGCAAAAAGAACCAAGCTGGAGGCATCATACTACCTGGTCTCATAATGTGTTAATATTACAAAGCTACCATATTCAAACTGTGTGGTACTGGATAAAAATAGACATATATCGTAAAGCAAAATAGTCCAGAAATACCTGTATTTCCATGCTGGTGAGTAATGAAAAAATGTTCACCAGTAGGCTCCAACTTCCATTATTTTATCAATGCTCTTTTATCTGAAAATCATTTTTTTCTCTCTTTTTTTTTTAATTTTTTATTGTTTAGAGGCAGGATCTTGCTATGTTGCCCAGGCTGGTCTTGAACTCCTGGTCTCAAGCGATTCCCCTGCCTCAGCCTCCCAAAGTGCTGTGATTATAGGCATGAGCCACTGTGCCTGGCTCTGCAGATGATTTTCATTCTAACCGAAGGCATTTTGTAGCAGGCTACATGAGGGCAGGTTAGATGACTGTGCACGTGGAATTTTTGAGGATTTATATTTCACCAGTAATAGTCAATGGGAGACTTGTCTTATATTTCTGCAGTCGACTGTTCTGCAGTTAGTCAAGTGGGGGACACAGCCAATAAAACAAACAAATATGAAGTGAGAACTTAGGGGTCTGAAGGAAAACCAGTATTTTTCAGAACAGTGAAGAGGAAAGGGAACACTGGTGGCAGGTTAAAGGCATCTCTGATGAATTAACAATATAAATTGAAATGGATACAAAATGAGTGTAAGGCTGAAATATATGTTTGAATATGGGGTAGAAATGAAGCATGATAATATTACTAAGTGTACGGATAACAGCAGTGCTTGATTTTGCTTATATGATTCTGAGAGTTTGTGTTAAGGATGAATCTCTGGATCTCTAGTGGAGCCATTATATGTAATAAGATTTGTGACTAGAGGACAAGGAACATTCCTTTGGTAGGTTGGAGTTAATAGCTTTAAGATATGTTTTATTTCAAGTGCCTGTAATACATACAAGTAGTAATTAAGCCTCTGCAGTAAAATCTTAACACTTTTTAGATGATGTCATCATAGAGATAATAATAGAAGCAATTGAAGAAATGCATGTGAGTTCCAAGACAGTGAATAGTAAAAGGAGAAAAAAAGGCCTAGAAGTAGGTCCTGCGGTGTTCCAATAGTATTGTGTGAGGAGGACCTTAGGAAAACCACTGGCAAGGAGTGAGCAGATAGTTTAAAGGCAGTCAGGAGCCTGAGGTGTCAAAGAAGCCTAGCAAAAGTGTTAAAGAAAATAAAATTTTAGAACACTAAATTTATTATGTCAAGGGGCAAGTCAAGCTATGGAGACTGACTCATGTAGCATGTTTGCAATTGTGTTTCTTAGATTATAGATGAACTCTCTTCCTCATTGTTCTTACTCTCTAAATGACTAGGAGACACCAAAGACCAGAATTTCCCCTTTTTAATAACTGATCTTTGTTTTAGATTAACTGCCTCTTTTATTGTCCTTTAGCTTATTCAGACCACATGGTGCAAAAGACCAATGTTAAATATACCTTTCCAAATAGAAAAAGGCCACCTTGACTAATCAGATCATTGTAACTATGCATTAAGCCTTATATAGAAAAATGTTGAAAATCTGTTAAGCATTCCTAAACTTTGTCTGTACAAGCAATCCCAGACTTCTACACTTTGGAATACTGACTTCCATTCTTTGAGATCTCTGGCTCCCAGGTGGCTGTCCTTAAATTTTGCAGTGGAATAAGCTCTCCTTAAACTAGCTTTTGACCCTTTTTGTTATTTTAGGTTGACAAAAGTAATAATCCAAAAAGGAGGTCATGGTCCAGTTTTGCTTTTGTTCCAAGTGAGATAAAATTACAAAAATACGCATTGACTTTAATTATGGAGAGATAACTGTGATCTAATCAAGATCAACGGGCCGGGCGCAGTGGCTCACGCCTGTAATCCTAGCACTCTGGGAGGCCGAGGCAGGAGGATTGCTTGAGCTCAGGAGTTCGAGACCAACCTGAGCAAGAGTGAGACCCTGTCTCTACTATAAATAGAGAGAAATTGGCCAAACAACTAAAAATAGAAAAGAATTAGCTGGGCACAGTGGCGCGTGCCTGTAGTCCCAGCTACGCGAGAGGCTGAGGCAGGAGGATCGCTTGAGCCCAAGAGTCTGAGGTTGCTGTGAGCTAGGCTGACGCCACAGCACTCACTCTAGCCCAGGCAACAAAAGCGAGACTGTCTCAAAAAAAAAAAGAAAAAGATAAACGGCGATCTTAGTAACATGTGGAGGATATGAGGAGATTACAAGTAAATGAGTACTGATCTTTTCAGTTTCATTTTGAAGGGGAAAAATACAAGATCTACAGATAAATTGGTTCAGGGAAGGGATTTGTTTCAATAATAAAGAGATTTAATGAGTTAAAGGGTTTCAGTGGGATAGAAAGGATGGGATGTTGGCTAGAAAAAAATATTACATTTATAATCAATAATGAAATATTTTCTAGAGAGGAGGAAAGAAGTGGCATAATTAGACTGAACCAAAGATAGAGATGAATTTTCAATATAAACAGATAAGTTGCTAATACAGGGATATTTGTAAACTTAATGTCAGTGAGCCAAAATATTTCTTCAGATTACCTAATACTTGAGTTTATTGTACAGTGTAACTAATTTGAGCCCCAGTTTTTATGCGTTCTTCCTGGTACCTGAGCTCTAACTTCCAAATAACTTGCTTACGCCATGAAATTGGACAGAGGGAGAAGGGGAGTTAAGTTTGGATAAATGTTACACAAACAAGTAAAATAATACTTCTTCAAGAGAATATATTCACTCAGCCAGCTGGACTTTACTACTAACATCCTGGAATACTTCAAGTCAATATGGCTAGCTCAAACTTTTAAAATTGCAGTTTCCACAGGCCTCTCAGCCTCTCAAGTTTGGGATGGAAATAGGAGAAAAAGCTTCCACTTCTTCATCATGCTTTTATTCATTAAAACTTCATCCAGATTTGACCCTGTGCTTCGTGGACTGCTGAGTGATACGGTGGGTATAATGGAAAGAGACTAAAGAGTTTTTCTCACAGGAATCGATGGCCTTCAAAGGGTGATATTTGCTTCATTTGTATAGTCCGTCATTTCTCCCTGGGGCTCTTTGCCTTGTCATTAGAAAGCAACATGATGTGAAGGGGTCGCTGTCAAAATGTGGAAATATTTCCCTGTCTTCGTGATGCTGCTAACTTTATGAGTGTCTGTGGACACAGAATGAGAGTTCTGACAACCAAGTCATACGATGCATGTCTGGGACCACGGAGTCCTGTGTGAACATCTTATGAGTTGAGTACCGACCCCTAGTCCTGTCAGTTTGACCATCCTATACACACACGTGAGCTGTTAAGACTCAATCGCCTTTGAGAATGTGCTCTGAACTTCACCCAGGAGGAGGGGGTTTTGCTGGGCCCTTCACAGAAAAAGAAAACAACTGTTCAGAGATGTGATAACTGGACAACATTCCTACACTTAAGAGAATACGTTTCCCGTCAATGCTGTTCTGAGATTTACCATGTGAAAAGGGAATCTTTTGGTAAATCAACCTGACATGGTAACAGCTTACCATGGATCCAGAATCTAATAATTTTTCTATAATTTCTAATGATTTTTCTGGGTTTGCATTTTAGGGAGGAAAATGTGAAGATCATATAACAGTGAAGGTCAGTCCAAAAACCAGGGGATAAATCTGAAGTGAGTGGCACTAAGAGAATTCAGTGTACCGTGACAGAATCTCCCAGAACAGTCTATTCACTTTCAAACAATTCAGATAGGGCAGAAACTTCCACTTTCCCTGAAAATGGTACGAATAATTTGTAATTGATCTGTAAGGAAAGGGCCTTTGAAAAATGATACTTTGACATTTGTTGGGATTTTCCTACTGGCCTTGTGTGGCCAGACACTAAATCTTCCTTAGCTGTTACATGTACTCCATCTTTCTTATAAGAAAAACTTTTCTTCTTGGCCACAAGAGCATTATTCCATTTTCCTTGCTAATAAAAAGTTGGCATAAATTTGTAAGTATACAAAGTTTGTCATTCATATAGTTTCATTTTAATTATATTCATATTATTATTTTTGTTCTTTGCTCTTTGTCATTTTTTTTTTTTTTGAGACAGAGTTTTGCTCTGTCACCCCAGCTAGAGTGCAGTGGCATAATCATTAGCTCACTGCAACCTCAAACTCCTGGGCTCAAGGAGGCCAAGGTGGGAGGATCGCTTGAGGTCAGGAGTTTGAGACCAACTTGAGCAATAGCGAGACCTCATCTCTACAAAATATAGAAAAATTAGCTGGGCGTGGTGATGCACACCTGTAGTCCCAGCTACTCAAGAGGCTGAGGCAGGAGGATCGCTTGAGCCCATGAGTGTGAGGTTACAGTGAGCTATGATTGTGCCACTGCACTCCAGCCTGGACAACAGAGGAAGACCCTGTCTCTAAAAAGTAATAATAAAAGTTCTAGTGCATATGTGATCATGAGTTTGAACATAGATATCTGGGATGTGAGACTTCTCATTGATTTGGACCACAAGTTACTGTGGTGTTTATGTTTGTATTTAATGTCATTTGAAAGGATTTTAAATTACCTGTTGTATTTGGCATTTTCAATTTGCTATTCTACAGACTGAGTGGTGCAATATGTACCCCCATTAAACCGTGGAGTTCCTGCCTGTTTGAAAAAGGGTTATGTTTATTTCCACAGTGCTAGCCCATCTTGGGTTTTTCCTATGAATAGAGAGATGCAAGTCCACTGTGATTTTCCAGAGCAAACACCGAAAGGTTATAGATAGGTGTTTAGAGAGCAATTATCCAAGGAATAATTGAAGTGAGCTGCAGACAAAGGGTGTCATTCCCAGTCATATACTAACTTGGTGGAAAAAGAGGTATATTTGACATCAGTTTTTAGTAGCCTTTTTATAGGAGGAGTAGCTGGAAGCCTTCTGTCTCAATGACCCCCAAATCCCACACTGCTGTTCACAAGTCATCATTTCCATAGGCTTAGAATTCCAGCATGTTACGGACGATGTGGGAAAACAGCAGGTTTGTGTTGTATTACAGAGCAAAGGAAATCCAATGTTTGTTCATTTTTTCAGTGCTACCTGACATTTTCTTACCACTGTAGACATGATGTGTGATTTCACAATTCTCATGACCTCAGTCGATTCCCCACCACCCATTCCTCCCATCTTACATGGTGGTGTCACTCTATGTATGTGAAAACTTACAGGAACACTTAAAATGGTATTGTGTATATTAAAAAGAATTGTTGGCAAACAGTGACACTTTCATGTGCTTGAAGAATGTTAAGGTCTCCTCAACCTTGATTTTTACATGTACCACACTTCTCTCGACCCGCCACCCTGGGATGGGAGAATTGAAGGACTGGGGAAGAAGAACTTGGACCCCAACAACCCGTGGCCTCGCTACAACCCCCTTTGAAGTCAGGAAATTCCCTCTCGGGCTACACCTGCCCTTGGCTCACACACATAACTTGAGAGAACCGAGTGCGCTCCCAAAATAGGTCTCTGAGTTTAACTCAAGTTCCTCAGGCACACTGTGGGGACTGCCGTAGTTCTGACACATGAACGCCTGTCCCACAGCTGTCCCCAAGTCAGAGCCGCCTGGAGCCATGCTGATTCACGGGCATCGGTGTCATGTTTCTCCAGGCTTGTCTCACAGCCACTTCCAGCTCTAAGTTTTCCATTTAAACATTACTCTGTGCCTGCCTACTGGGAAACATCGTTAGAAAGCCTCGCCTGTCCCACTCCGGCAATGCCAGGTGGCTGTGAGGTGACACTTTCAGGAAAAAAGCAGTGGCAGAACCCATGTCATGGGCACAGGTCCTCAAATCAGTATCATCATGGTTATGGGCCTCCCTCACGGCAGTGGTTGCAGAGGGTTTCAGGACCCCAGTCTGAAGTTTCATTTGAATTAATCCAGGGGTGCCATGGGTGTTTTTCCTTACAGCACTGAGGATCAGGGAACTTGTTGAGACAGAGGCAGAACAGCAGCGGTGGCAGCAGAGCCATCTGCTATGACGTTTATATGCCTAATTCCTGCTTTTTCTCTCCATAAAAATGCCCTAAGAATATTTCTTTCTCTCTATAAAAATTCCTTAAGAACATTTGGATTTCTAGTCATGTAAAGTTGCAGGTTCCAGTTTCTGTGCCAAATACAGGCCAAACTTGATGACAAGGCACGCGAGGGCACGGTCAGTGTAACTTCCCTGTCTCGGGATGAGAGTGTGTCAGGTGGGAAGAGAAGGCCCGTAACCACAGAGTGCTGTCGGGCCAAAGCGCAAGCCCCCCAGAAATTGATGACTCTGTCCCGGCGGCCCTCTGTGCATCATGGAACCAGTTAAGTTAGTCAAGAGCATTTAGTGAAAGCTGTACGGATGTCCTCGGTCATGGTGTGGACATCCTGTTTGTGTTGCCAACTGTTTCAGGGGTCTCCCATTCACTCCACTGTTGAGGAAAGGATTAGCACCCTGGGGCTATGGGGACGGCCGAACACATGACACCTGACACTGGGCAGAAGAAATTGACAACGGTTTATTAGTCGTGTATGTTCACAGCCCAGAGGAGGAGGGTACCTGTCATATCCAGGGGTTTCCAGTGATCCCAGTGAATCCGCTTCCCTATGGTAGACTAGTTTTTTTCAGTCCGATTCAAGTCAAAGATAAATCTTAGACATCATCTGAAAGTGTTTCTTGTTTTGAAGCATTTCAGATTTTGGATTTTCAGATTAGGGATGTTCAACCT